TATCCCCGGCGGGTATCGGGGGGCGGGACGGGGCGCGTTCCCCGCCCCGTTGCCATGCCTAGTTACGTCTTTTGCGTGAAGAATTTCATAAAAGTAATTACTAGAAAATGTTTGTGAACGTATGAATTACTCATGCTTTCAGGTTTTTCTTCTTCGTGACACATACAGTCTCCAGACATGCAGTACTATTTTGTCAAAAATGAAATTACACTCTGGAAGCCCCCTAATCATATATACGAATGACTATAACTTTAAGAAATGACTAAGGCTTGATTAGTTAATCTAAACCTTTGCTATAAAGTATAATTATTTATCACAACAGACTATATCATCATTTATCATAATAATGAGAATAATAATAATAATAATATAAACAATTTGACTGTTTAAATTTTAAGTTAATTTGCATGGAATCTTAAGTTGAGCCTCGTTAATACAATTAATTGTACACTAAATTTAAAATTAATCATGTTAAAGTTCTTGTATGTTTTTATTCATTAAAATTATAATGATAACAATTTAAGATATTGTGTATATATTACATCAATTTCTTTTGTTTGTGAGTTCTCTATTTATTTGTTTTAATCCTAAAATACAAGGACAAAATTCATATTTTAAATTTCTCAATTATTTTAGTGTAATTCTCAAACCAACAATATTAAAATTGCATTCCGTATGATTTGAATCATCACATTTCTTAGGATTTGAACCTATGACATCAGATTTATTTGAAGACCTGCATTCTACTAAATTGAAACTAGGAGTGTTTTGTTTTCATAAATTTTTTTAGATGATCACACTATTCGACCTAGTTGTCATACATTTTAAGATAAAATATTTTTTAATCTCTTTAAAAATTTTCAAGTTTGGTTTTAGTATGATGAAAATATGTTATTTTTGTTATCCTCTAATTTAGAAATATATCACTTTTGATCCTCAAAGTGGTTTATATGGTATTTTATAAGGATGACAAAATGAGTGATGGCTTGATAGCTCGCAAAAAATTGAAGGGTCGAATTAGGTATCCTACTTACTCTACTTAATAACTTATGTTTACATCAAATTTTAACGATCTATCCATTGAATTAAAAGTCCTTAATACATAGATCAAGTCTATAAATTTTTAAAAAGTTAGAAAATTATTAGATATTTCATTTCATTAATTCAAATCAACATATGCAATACTTTTATGATTATCTATCAATTTGAATTAATGAAACAAAGTATTAATTAGTTCTCAAAATTCTTAAAAATTTGTAAATTTGATCTATACGTTAAAAATTTCTAATTTAACGATTAAATCGTTAAAATTTAAAATAGAACACAAATTATAAAAAGACGTACACACGCGCACGTACACCCACGCACGCACGCACACCCTCACACACCCACACACACATATATATATATATGTATATATATAATTGCCTAAAATATTTTCACACTTATAAATAACTCCATGACTTACAAAAGGGCATATGCACTACTTCTAAGACAATTAATTCATGCTTTACTGGTGAGACTACTTTTCACTTGAGTGTTGTAGTCTATTTTACAAGTACCTCTACTATTAATATTGAAGAGCAAAGACTTACATCTAGTCTAACAAATCACTTGCAGATTTTGATAAAAATAATAATCATTTTTAAACGTTATTCAAAATCACTTTGTGGACTAAAAGTTATACATTTTTAATAGAAGAGTCAAAATAGTTAACAAAATTTCTAGAGGAGTAATGTCAAATTTCAAAAAATTTAGAGGATTAAAAACATTTTTTTTGCTATATTTTTTATCATTATTTTTTCCTATTTTTAAATATAACTTTTATCATCTAAATCATAAAAGTCAAACTAACGGGTTTGGGTTCTCGGTTCAAAATTTATTACCGTTATTGTAAAAAAAAATGCCTTTTTTATAGTTTAAACATTGTGTATTATTCATTGTTCTAAAAAGGTTTGGTATTGACTAGCAATCCCTAAAAGTTGTCAAATATTTGTCAACAATAATATATACACAGTGCTTATATGTAAAGTGTTGGATTTTATCCCCAGTATATGAAATGTAAAATCAGAGCATTTAGAATATTCATTAGCATTGCCTGAAAAGTAAAAAAAGGCATAGGGGGGGAGCATAAACCTTTATGCATAGGTTTAGGTTTCTCAATTGATCCGCCAATTCAACAATGATGGTATTCACAAATAACCAAGGTCCCTCTTCAACATTTTTCTTATAGAGGCTTGGAAGGTTTCTACTTTTGATTCAGCAAATTGATAAGATGCTTGTTCTTAAAGAATTCAGACTATATTTGACCTTTTTTTTTTCTTCACCATTTGCATTATTATTTTTTTCTTTACCAACTTGAGAAGATTCATGAAGATGCTGATTGCTGAATGGACCAAATCGACCAGTGATCCATTTAAAAGCTATTAATATATTTTGGTGTCTATAGGAATAGGGAGAACCAGAGCTTTTATAGGCCAGTTGATTCGGTACTCATACCATAATACATGTGGGTCTACATGTATCCTACCCTTTAATATTCACTTTTCTAACTTCTGCAACCACTTCAAGTCTAGACTAATTAAGCCATACAAAGACTCTGATTTCTCTTTGTATTTTTATAACTCGTTATCAAATTGAATTTCATTAATGAAAGCTAAGGTTTGAGCGTGCAACTTGATATATGATAGCACAACCTTATGACCCCCTCAATTATTTGTGTTAAAAATTTATTAGATTGGATAAGATTTAGTGGACAGTTTCGAATGAAACGGATTTATGATACTCATTCATAAAAAAATTGATCAGAAAATGTGGAGCACAGATGGTTTTGTCCCATCTGTGCAACAAATAATGATACTAATTAGGTCAATCATATATAGCAGACCATAATTGCATCAGATAATTTCTCACTTAAAGCAAACGGATGAAGATAATCTTTTTCAATCTTTGATCTGCATGAAAGTCCAGGCCCACAGAGCACTAAGCCACTGATTTTGACATAAAGAGATAGATGAGTCCCATTTTCTTTTCATTAAGAAATGGTCGGGACACTAGAAGTTTTTCACGACCAAACAATGTAAATGTGAATGTATCATAGCTTGCAAATGGCAATTCAGCATTTGTTCAAAGCACAACCTAGTGCCTTATCTAAGTATCAAAAACTAAATAAAACAACCAACTTGGGACCCCCCACTATAAAGGGTGGTCCATCCCCTTGCCATGGGAATTCATATTGTGTCATCACTAGTATAGATGGTGGCACCTCCTATTTCCACAAGTATGTCCCACTTCTCACACTACCAATGACCCTCATGATTCTCATACCCCAAAAGGCCACTATCCAACACCACACATGGGGTGCCACCACACAGGATCATGATGTAGCCCTTCCCTCTTAAAACCCTCAACCAGATTGTCCCATTTTTGCTTATGTAATACAAATATTTCCTGTTTCATGCAGTGAGAGATCAAAGAGAAGGTTTCCTTCTGAAACTTGGTGAGTTTGGTTATGGAGAAAAGCAAGTCATTCCCTGAGTACTCTTGCTCTTACACTGAATTTGGGTTTAGAGAACGGTCCAACTCATATAATTTTAATGGGCCAACCCAGAAGGGAAGTGGGTTTAGTGCATCAAGTGATCCAGAGCTCAAGAGGAAGAAGAGAATCAAGGGCTATAATGTGTTGACAGTGGAGGGAAAGCTTAAAACAAGTGTTAGAAACAGCTTCAAGTGGATCAAGAACAAGTTCAGTGACATTCGCTATGGTGTGTGAACTATGACCAACCATAAAGAGTTGCTTGCATGTGTTCAGTAATATCAACTTTGAAGGTAAGACCTTTATAAAGGAAAATATTGCAGTGGTGTATTTGTGAGGTAAGAAGTTGTTATACATAAAAAATGCATGAGAGGACTAGCTGGGTATGTTCTGTAATCAAGGGTTTATTGGCTGGTCTTTCGTAAGAGGGAGAGCAAACTAGCATGCTCTGTATCAAACAAGCAAGAATTCAAAATGTTTCTGAAAATTGTGATTAGTAATAAACTCTTCTTATGGTTAGTTCTTTTTTTTGGATGTGTCCTCTGTGTTGTTAACTTCTTATCCAATGATCTGAAATAGTAAAAATCTTAATATACTTCATAATTTTAACAATGAATCTTTCCTTTATATCTTATTGTAGAATCTAGATATTTGAGTTTGAGGCCTAGTCAATAGAGCTAATCAAGTAACTTAAAATATTCGTTACTTCATATGATATAAGATCAGACTTACATTTATAATTCACTTTTACCAAGAGGTGTATAAACTTTTAATTCCTTGTCATAAGCTTGGTGATGGTACTTATCATGTTTCAATATCTGCAATCTAAACACAGTACTTTATGGGCTTCGATCCCTATTGTTGACTTTATTTAAGATGCAGACAGATCTAGCCTAAATCTGCCTACTTTAATATTCTCAAGACTAATAAGACTCTAATCTTAATTTTTTTCCCCTTTCATTCAAGCCTAAAACGCCTGAGAAACGAAGGTAAACCTGCCTCTGTTACAATTTGGATATTTGTAGTTGGATTTGATCGTTCGAGTTTTAATGTTCCAATACATCATCACACATGGCTCTAGGAAATCCTGTAATTAAAAAAGAATTGCATAGTTTCTCCCAAATTTGAGTCCCTTTTTCAATATGCAACAGTTGTTTCACTTATTAGTTATTTGAATAAGTAATTATGTTTTTAATATAATCATCTCTTTGTAACCCTCCAACTCAGTATTCAACACTTTAACTTTAAACAACTCACAGGAAAGAAAGATACTCTAAAAGCCAGTGATTAGCAATCAACGGTTTCCTACTCATTTAGTCTCTGGCTTTGTGCTCAGCGTATCTTAAAATCCACGAAACCAAATTCAATAACTGAAGTCGTTCAATTGATTATGAAACAGAAAACGACAAAGGATTAAAACAAACAAGTAGGAAGGTTTAAAGAGATTTAGACTAGGCTATCATGGAATGTGACACCCCAACTCACAGCTCGTCATTTATGATATGGACAATTAAAATTTCCTATGCTTGATAATGATATGAATAAGCAACTACTTACTTTAATTATTGATAACGCAGTGGAAAATAATCAATTACAAGTTCCAAAGCCAATTGTAAGTCTTTAACTCTACATTCATTACTTTTTCGTTCTTCCGAGTTGACAGTTTACTGACTAATTGCGTGGTGAAACAACTCCCTTTTCAAATTGTATAAAAAAGCATAAACAAAAGATTGAACAATATTGTGCTAGTTTCTTCCCAAAATAATTAAACAAAATATGTAGATCTTTGATTCTTCCGTTGATGATTGTTTATTCTCTATGACAATAATGCTAGGTACAAATCACTAATTGCAGTTACATTAGTTCATATTGCAAGCGTCTTATTGAAGATAGTCCCACCTGAACATCACTAAAATGTGTACCAAGAAATATTGTTTTTTCCATAATTTTTTTATTTAAACATCAAATAATTGACATTAAATCTTTAATCTCTTCTGTATACACACGCCTATAAAAAAATACTCCGACACTATTGAGAAAAAATTCAAGTCCCACATCAACTAGAGATTAGGCAATTGAATAGTATATAAGTGGAAAACAACCCTCACCTTACAAGCCGGTTTTGTAAGATTGAGTTAGGCTTAATCCACTATTATAACAGACACAATCAAAGATACAAGGGGACGACCACATAATTGTACAAAAAAATAAATGTCCCCTTCAGTTTTGTGGAAGAGTATTTTTGAATTGCGCATATACGGAAAAGATAGGGTGAGAAATAGAAAACAGTATCAAATATGGAATTAATTATTCGGGTGAGAAATAGAAAACAGTATCAAATATGGAATTAATTATTCGATGCTCAAATCATGGAATTCAACGGTGTGCATAAAATTCTGCCCAGGAAATGTATAAAACAACAGTAAAGTTCATTTACAATCTAATCAAAGAGATTTGGCAAGCATGCAACTTGAGCTGATGCTTATTGAACAGAAGAATCAAAATGTTAGGCGAATGGGTTGACAAATCAGGCCACACCAAGAGGGAAAAGAATGTTTAGAGCTTTTCAGAATACACCAAATAATACTAAAATAAAAACAGCCATTTTGGGTTTACATATTCTAATCATCAATGTCCAAGAGTAAACGTTCCTCCCTTTTTGAGTATCTAAATTCTCTGGTGGAAGCTGACCTGAAAACATGGCCTGGTCTGTATCTGCTGTCATCTTTCTTGGTAGCATTTGGTTTTGACTTGAGTAATGGAGGAAGGTTCTTGATGTTTCTTTCACCAACATGGTGATGGGTTTTGGGAGACAGCCTTTGATCTGAAGCCTGAAATGGAGATGGAAATAAAGGTGATTGGTCCTTAGCCCCACCAGGGTTTACACTAGATGATGTACTACTTGTGCTATCCATGTCTTCAGTTGGAGCATAAGTTTCAGGATTAGCATTCCTTATCAATTCCTGAAATAACATGTGAATCAAATACATAAATTAGTCTAATAGTTGAATTTACATAACCAAAATGAAAAAATAAAAACATGAATAAACATCAACCTATGTATAGGAAGAGATAGAACACAGTACAATATATGTAGTTTTAAATTATTGATGTATTTATCTTTTTTCTTTTCAGTGGTGTTGCGTCCATGGAGACATAGCACCAGCTTTATTTTATCATGTGGTCCACTGGGAACAATATTCCAACTGTCACAAGCGTGGATCAGATAGATAGTTCACCTCAAAAGGTGTTCCAAGCAAACACATTCTTTGGCATAATTAGAGACAAATCAACACAACCACAGGTATTGGAAACCAAATAGAAGGAAACTTAACAGAGAAGTCCTTGGTTCTATCTCAAGGTGGGCTAAACAAAAATTTGAATCTAACCCCATCAAACATGAGAGTATGCAATTTCAACTTGTCGTTGGTCACAGAATGTCCTAAAGCACAAGGTTTAATACCTCTTTAGAAGATACAGTATGCTCTATTGGCCTCTTAGATACTGAATTCTTGCGACGCTCAAGATATGTGCGAGAACGCCTGATTTTGGAGTTCATGTACCTGTAAATATTGGCAAAGCAATAAGATATCTTTGCAAGTACTGAAATTAAGAATTTAAATACTTTAGTCAAATACTTCTTTATATAATCATCAGTCACACTAGAACAAATGTGCCTGGATTAATTGTTCAGTACCACGTTGAACAAAATTCCATAGCATAAAATATGTAAGAATCACCCAATCCAAGCAAGTACAAATACCAATATGGGGAATGAAACAAGTAACAACTTATGTATAAACTGTGAATCAAGTTGTCCGATTTTGGCACAATTCTCACAAAGAAAGTAAGAGATGTACCAATATTGATCACTATCACATATACATGCAGACATAGATATGTAACAACAGAATCATATATGTACTTGTGTAACAAGTTGACTAAAGACATTATCAAAACTTTTATATCTAAGAAATGACTTACTTGATCTGTTCATTATCTTGAACAGGCTCCTCATCCTCTCTGAAGACTGCAGGCAGACCAGAGAGGTCACATGCCAATGGGCTTGTAAAGAAAAACTGCACGCAAAAGACACTTGTATGTGGGAAATTTGGAGTAAATTAGGCATGTTATTATTTAATAGCTATTCATCAGGAATTACATGTTGAAGTCAATATTATTGCACATGTTTGTGTGTATCTTTCTATATCTACAAGTGCTACAAGATCATGAGCCACTACTGAAACATCAAGAGAACATTAAAACTATTCAATGTACTTTTCTTCATGAAAAATATTAGTCCAATAAAAATGCACAAAGTTGTGAAACCATTAACAGACAAGCGAGAGCGCACACAGATGCACTATAAGATATGTATTCTATCAATTGGAATTGCAAATTCATAGCCGAAAATTGCAACTGGAAAAAATTCATATCTTATGGAAAACAGGAAAAGTATTATGCCGTATGTAATGTAATGGTTTGAAGTTAGAATAACTTAAGTCAGCAATAGCCATTGTGGTCTTTACTAACCTGATTGTTTAGAGCTTTAGATGCACTACCACGGAATACAGGATCCAAAGCAAGCAAAGTGCATAAAAGACCCAAGGAAGATGGAGGGAGATCCCTGAAAGTTTCAACAAGGCTAGGTCTATAAGACTTCGGAGGTCTAAAAGTTGTAGAAAGTTTAAATTTCCTCCAATACTCCTCTGATGGTGTGCCACATAGCCTGAAAATTTTATGAATTTGCTCAACCTAGAACCAGGGAAACATCATGATTAGTAGATCTAGAAAATTGAAGTCAGTGAGATATTCAGATAACATAGCACAAAATTATACAGAGCAGAAATAAAAGACAGCTATTATCACCACACTATTATGTTAGTATTATCACAAAAAGCCAAAGATACTTAAAAGGAAGCCATTATCTCAGTATTATCACCTCAGTTCTGCCAGGCATGATTGGAACTCCTTTAAACATTTCTGCCAAAAGACATCCAGCACTCCATAGATCAATACCAACTCCATAATTTGTGTCACCTAACAACAACTCAGGAGCTCGGTACCATAGTGTCACAACCCGGTTTGTGAGAGGTTGGTGACAGTCTGGACCATAAAAATTGGCAAGCCCAAAATCTGCAATCTTAAGCATCCCATTTTTATCAATCAAAAGGTTTGACCCCTTTATATCTCGATGCAGAATTCCCCTATCATGGCAATGCTGCAGACCTGAAAGCAATTGATGCATATAGCACTTGACCTACATTAACTTATTAAGGTCATTAATTGAGAATAATATAGGGATCCGAATGCTAAAGTGACCAAAGCATCAAAGAGAATATTTGAACCACATTGGGATGAGTTAGTCATTTCTTAAATATTTGAGTTAGCATCAAAGAGAATAACCTGCGGTTCAGTTAGTCTCTCTTCAGAATGAGCGATAATTCTTGCCAAATCTGTTTGCATGAAGTCAAAAACAAGATATATACTGTACTGCATTCTTGAAGTGGCTAATCCTTTAAGTTTTACTACATTGGGATGATCCAGTCTCTGTAATATCATAATTTCTCTTGCCATAAACTTAATGCTTTCAGGCTCTGATGTATTGAAGCGAACCTTCTTCAGGGCCACAATTTCCCCAGTGTCTCGATCCAGAGCTTTATAAACATTGCTGTAGGTTCCTTGTCCTACCTGCAAAACGTAAATAACATAATCTAAGTCAATTAGCTTGCTCTCTTCTGCCATTATCTAGCGCCCTTCAGTTTTGGTTGTCCTAAATAAACTAAACATTAATAAACTTTAAAAATACTTGCATATTAGATTGTAAACAATTAGGGAACCACAAACTTAACAACTTTCTTAATTTAGAAAGAAATCAATACCATGTTTCCATGATTGTTTGAAGTTTCATGATATATAACTGATCGGATCCTTGGTCAAACTTAAGTACATATATACTTGTTATGATTTATAATGCTTTCAAAACGATCATGCATTGCACAAACAATAGAACTATCCGCTTGCATCTTACATTGCAAACAATAATCGCTAAATTCAAATTACCTATATATTCTCAATGCAAGTATAGGTTCAAGCAGAGAAAAATAAAAAATTGCAATTTGCAGAAGACTGGTGCCACATTGTGAAAAATGTTTTGATGGGATAAAGCTAATTAATTAACCACCTGCACTATGCACAGAATAAGCAAAAAAAAAAAAACTGTAAAAGCATATTTGTACTTAGAATTCCCCATAACCCTTCATCCTATTGCTAGCCTTGCCTAAACCACATGATAATCAAAACTCATACAGAACTAAGAAACAAAAACCTTATCAATCATCTTGAAGGCTTCAGCACTTTTGGGAACCAAGCCAGCAAAGACATGTTTAGGAACATTATCAACCAACCACCTTGGCCAGCCATCAACCATCTCATCCTCAAAACAACACTTGTTTGGCAACTTGTTATCATCACGTGCGACTCTCCTCCCCTCTCTACCAACCAACTTACCCTTCGACTCAACTTTACTTTCCCTTCTGGGTTGTTGTTGTTGTTGTTGTTCTCTCTGATGATGCAACCTATCGTACTCCTTATTAGGCGCAAGTCTTTGACCAGTGGATCTTCTATGAGCAACAAAATCGGTACTTGGCACATACCCATTGTCCAACTTCAGCCTCTCTAGGCCCCTGTACTCCGAAGCTTCGAAATCCAATGGCTTGGCCTGAACACAGCCCATAATGATGGCGTGAAGGTTGATGTTCTATCTATGTGTGCAGCCCCAAAGAAAAGGAGAAGAGAGAATGGTGGGAGTAGCCGACCATGGACGGCACATTTGGAATGTTGCTGTGGGAACTGAGTCGCACAATGAGACCTTTGGGTTTTCCGCAGAGAGAGAGAGAGAGAGAGAGAGAGAATGACTGCGGAAGCAAAGAAAGAGTGAAGTGAGTGAGAGTGAGAAGACGGAGAGACAGAGTGACAGGAAGAGTGTGTTGGGCGCACGTGTCTGTCTCTGCCACAGATGTTAGATCTTTTATTCCTTTTGTGGACCCACAGCCGGCAACCTTCTCAGCATACGGATACGGATACCCAATAAGATTCCGTATATCCATTTTTTTATATAAAATATTTATATAGTTAAAGATTTAAATAAAAAATTTACACAATTACCATTTTATACCTTAAGCCTGTTTTTTATGTGCACATCAGGTTTTTGTTTAATATAAATTATTAGTATAATCGATTATCTGACATTTGATTATGCTATGTAACTTATCTTATAATATGATTCTTTTATGTGGTTTATGTTAATTGCATGAGTAATTATGTAGCTTTGACATACCTCTAACATCTCATCATAATTGATTATGATCCAACAGTAATCAATTATGATAATTTTTCTCATATGTGTTGTATTAAAATAAGTTTTGAGTGATATAACTAAAGTCAAATGAGAGAGTAAGTGAAACAATTTTATCATACAATTTTTAGGTTATTAATTCCTTGTAAACCTTGCATTTTGGAGGTAGGATTTTCGATTTAGGTTGCATAACAAATTCTATCTTAATCTCCTCTTTTCCACTCCTACCTTTCATTCATCCTACTTACTTTCCTCTCCAAACACAATGTAAGTATTAAAAGTGTTCATAGGTGAATTTGGATTGGATTTAACTAAACCAATTATCCAATTCAATCAAGATTTTATAAGTTAGGTTGAGTTTGTGTATTTTTTTTTAAAATCTAAATTAAACCGATTGGATCATAAATAAGTTGGATTATGTTGGGTCAATTGTCTTTAACCATTTATAACTTTTTAAAATTTTAAAAACTAAATTTTTTTCTTCCTAGAAGTTAATTGATTTTTATATCTACAAACTCTATTATATTAATATAAGATATTTTCATCAAACGATATAAATAATGATATGCAATTTGAATTAATGTATGTGTGTTTGACTTGCTCCAACCTCCGAGACCCATCTAAAAGTTCCTACACAAAAGGGGTCATATATGTGGTTTGAATCAAACTAGAGAAAAAATTTTAATCCATTGCTAAACTCAAGAAAAAAATAGTAAAATAAAATCTCCAAATTAATGCTTACTCATTGCTATAACTTATGGAAAATGAAATGTATATATGCTTAAGGCCTTATTTCACCGTATAGTAATTGGTAGCCAACTAATGTAACATCATGTTGTTGTTCAACAATATTGCCAAGAGATGGGACTAAAGTGAGATTAGTCACTCTTGTAATTTTTTTAGTTAAATTTACTCCGTGTATGAGTTGGATTTAAAAATCAAAACTCATTACCTAAACCATCTTAGAATATATTTAAATGAGTTAAGTTAGATTTAACTCAAAATATTTAAAAAAAAATCGATCCAAAGTGACTGAGTCAATTCAAGCTTATGGGATAAACAAACATATGAATAGCCCTACAAAATATTTAATACAATTACATGTTCAAAACTCAAATTTGATATCACTTATTAAGTTAGAACAATCTTGTATCTTGACTGATAATCCATGTGCTAGATATTCTTATATCCATGCTAACATTACATTTTTTTTATTCATTAAGGACAAATTAGAATCATGATATCACATGTTGACAAAAAGAAAATAACATGCAATAATATTTTGAATAATGGCTTTATTAAATCTCAGTTTACAAAAAAAAAAAAAAAAAGCGAAGAGAAGAAATATGTTTTATACACTTGCATAAATAGAAACAAGGTCATTTCTTCATATTTTCTTTTCTTTACAAATTTCATCTATTCTTCATTTTCCTCCCAACTATTTTATTTTATTCATCTATAAAACTCAAATTCAATATTACTAAGACTAACAATTTATTGATGACTGTTTGCTTATGTTTTAGACACAAACTATTTTCGAGCGACGACAACATCAAGATATAAAATTCCATTATTAATAATCCCTCATATGAACTTCATTTTTATTTGTTGTTACTTAGCATGATAAAAAAAATACGGGAAATTAATTATGTATAGATAGAAGATTAAATATTGTATAAATAATCAAAACTAAATCATAAAAATTGCACTTTTAATAGTGGTTATGATTTATAATTTTGAATTGATGAATAAACAACCTTATTTGTTTTTTTTTTTTTTTACTTTTGAATAACAACCTTGTCTTTGTCAAAAAAAAAAATTGTGTTTTTGGAAAAAAAAATAGTTTTAACCAAATATAACTTCTAAAAAACTATTAGTTAAGTTAAAACAACTTGTGCAAGTACTCAAAAAAAATAAAAAATAAAAAATAAAAATCGTGTAACTTGACCTAAACATATTACTGCTCATTATTCCATTTTGATAGGGCCATCTCATTTCTTACTTGATACATCTCATGCAACCAAACACTCTGAAAGGTTGGAGTATGTTAGAAGCAGTCTCCCAGCCCATCACCTATGAACTGTCAAATTTTATTTTATTTTTATCCATCCTTTCTCAAAGAAGTACAAGTATACTGGCCATTGGCTCCGTCGGTTGCTCCTTAGTATTTTAGTCTAATGTCAATGTCAATAAAATGAAAGGCACGAAATATTGTGTGGTTAACAACTATTAAGTTGTCAATATTCGGCTCTGGACACATCATCCAGTGGTAATATTTCTAAACTTGGTAATTTGGTAGCCATTGCCATTTGTCATGCATTCAAACATCATTTGCGATTGAGTTTCCCGCAACGTATAATTACGTACACTCTTTGGATGTTAGACTAATTCATGTTCCGGCATGCAATGAGATTCGAAATGTGAAGAGACAATGTTGGAGGTTAATGAACAATGCACATTTTTCATTTGGTATCTGATGTTAAATGCAATGCACTCAAATGGCTTACCATACCTATAGCAAGGCAATTGAGCACAAAGGAAAATGAAAATCATGATATTATTGTTATTTTATAGATGTGGAGACACAGCAGCAAGCTTGCTTGCTATATATGAAGATGAAACAAATTGATGAACCTTGTTTATGCTAGGAAAAACAACATGAAACTATTGACAGTATATATGATCTTATGGTATTCATTCCAAATCCACTATCCCAAAATTCGAGAGAAGGATCTTTACTTGATCAACAAAGTCTGAGCCTGTTGCATACTCTGTTAACAATCCAACAGCAAAACCAAACATTGCCCATCTGTTGAAACAGAACTCCGGATTAAAAAGTCAAATAAATAGACAGAGCAGAGCAAGCATAAGTATGAACATATTTCACAAAGAGCTAATGATTTCATTGTGAATTCCGTAGGACTTGCTTTGAAGGCTTCTTCTTTATAATGACATAGGAAAGCTTTAGGGAGATATACAAAAACAAAGATAACCTTGTCCCAATGGGTAAGGTCAACCACATAGATCACACAATGTCATTGGACCCGATCAAAAAACCAAATTCTTAGAAACATTATTCGACATAAGATCCCTTTTAATAATTTTCTTCAATATCTTTCTTGTTCCTCATTGACGCCTCCTATGCCCTTCGTTGTATATGTTTAATTTTAAACCACTTTAATCAATTTTTTGTCATTTTATCCTTGATAAGTGTTACACCAATATCTCCTTATATACAATCATTTTGTATCCTGCCCTTTCTTATGTGATAACATATCAATCTTAACATCTCATTTTTGCTAGCACCATTTTTTCTCATTTTATTCCTTTAAAGTCCAACATTCACTAACATAGAGTAAAGTTGGTCTTATAGTCACACGTTAAAACTTTTCTTTGAGTTTGATAGGTCTTGATGCCTTTCTCCACTGTCCTACCCAACTTGAATTCTATGCGTGACATCATAATTAATTTTCCTATTATTATGTAATATTGATCCCAAATATTTAATCTTAGAAACCTATAATATAAAGTCTCCAAATTCGACCACCAAATAATTATTTTCATCTTGTTTTGTGCTAAAATTGCAGTACATATACTTTGTGATGCTCTTAAGCGAAAATTCTTTGATCCTAAAGGTTGCCTACAAAGGTCAAATTTAGAGATAGCACCTTCCCATGATTCCTTGATCAAATGATATCATGCGCAAAAACATATGTTTAGAGATAATCTTTTATATGTCCTTGGTAAGAACATCCAAATCTATATTAAAAAAATAAAAACTCAAGGTTGAGTCCCGAAGTAAACTTATACATGTAGAAAAATCCTTAGTCTCACCTCTAGGAATTTTCACATTAGTAGTTATCCTATCATACATGTTTGATGTGTTGTATAGCTTGAATATAAATCACACGAACACCTTTATTTTCTAATGTTATCCACAACACTTCTCTTGTCACTCAATCAAATGTTTTCTCTAAGTTAACAAAAAAAAACATTTAAGTTTCTTTCTTTGTGTTGATACCTTTCCATCAACCCCATAGAAGATAAATAACTTTTGTATACCTTTTTGACATAAATCCAATTTGATCCTCCACAATCTAGTCTCTTCCCTTAATCTATACTCAATCACTTTTCCCCATAATTTTATACTGTACCTTAAGAGTTTTATATCTCTATAGTTTACACCATTCTGAATATCTTCTCTATTCTCACATATAGGAACCAAAGTGCTCCTACTCCATTCATCTAACATATGCTTATATTTCAAAATCTCATTAAATAGCTTAGTATGCCAAATGATACTTTGTTCTCGTGTATATTTCCAAATTTTAATAGGAACAATACAATCAAGACCAATAACTTTACCATTATACATCCTCTTAAAACCTTTTTTACTTTTCCGACTCAAAGTTTGCAATAATAAGACATTTTTTGGTCACTCATATTTCTAATCCTTTCCATGTTACATTTTGATCTTCGCTAATCATTGAAAAACTTATAAAATAGCTCTACCATCTCTCTAATATCCCTGTTACAGCCAAAAACCTTTTAAGAAACCAGAAACAACAGAAAATATTATCTGAAAATAAACCAAGATTAAATCAATAACATTTTATACAGCTACGCATTAAAGAAAGTAGATAACGAGAAGAAGGTCCACCCAAGAATTTGATTAATGAGTTCAGCTAAGTAAAGCCTACGTCTCAGGACTCAACACAACTCAAGTTCAATCTTATTCAGAGTCAACAATTACAGTTGAAAAACTGATCTCCTTCCCTCATCTCGGAGATTTCGCACAACTTCCCTTGATCCCAAATCCAAATTAACCCGAGTTACCAAAGAAACTCTCCTGTAGTTCCTATCAATTCACGCTCTCTAATTCTCAATCAAGTTTGATATCTTCTCTCTCACACCCATTCCCCGTTATATTCCTTTATAATACAACATATAAGAGGATTCAAAATTGCCTATTAACAAGGGGAAAACAGAAAAATAGTTGCAACAGAAAACTAACATAACAGAATGACCCACATCAGCAACAATATTGTATATAGATTTTTCTCAAAGGAGCCTAAAATGGCTCAAAACATGAAATTGAATTCCCTTTAGAGCATCCTTTAGACTTCCAATGGTTTTTGTTTCCATTAATTTCTCATCACTTAGGAAATGATAAAATATAGAGTGGCATTTACTCTTCGGAGCTGAAGTTTGACTGCCACCCGTGCCCGAAGTATGTATATGATTATATTTTTGCTGTGTTAGATATTTAAAATCATTTATGCGCCTTCATCCAATAGTTTAAGATTTTGGGAGAGGTTTTTCTTAACATGATTTTAGAATCTCTAAGACCAAGTAGAATAGTCAAGTTCAATCCTTAATAAAAGTTAAATCTCTTATTTTCCATGCTTCAAAGCCCAAAAGACTCGTGAATTTTGGGCTAATATCCCCTGAAATTTGCTAGGCTATCGCCACAACACAACTGAGACAGACTGAAGGTTCAGCCAATATTTTGATCAACACCATATCACCCCAACATTCAACCAAAATAGCAGCCCACAATTAACTAGTTCTACCAACATTAAAAGGAATGCAATTAACATAGTCCTAAATCCACATAAAAAAAAAATAAAAAAAAACTCCAACTTTAACATGTCCCAAAAGAAAAGAAAAGAAAAATTACCTTCCGTTGTTGATCTCATTTTTGCCAATGAAGCCAAAGAAAGGACCCTGATTTGCTTCTTCAAGCTTCTTCTGTTTGAAGTACTCCTGCAGCTCCTTAGCCTTTTGCCTCTGAAACTCTAATGTTATGAGATTCTTATCATCCCCAACAAGAGGAGAAGGCTTCTGAGGAGGAGGCTGAGAAGGAGGTGAAGGCTTGAGGGGCTGAGGGATAGTACTAGATGGTTCTCTCACAGGAGGAGCCACTGGTCTTCTCAGAGGCCCTTCGGTCTGAGAGTTCCTTACAGTAACAGCCACAGCATAAGGCTTGCAAGAGGAAAATCTAAATGATGAAGTTGATGAAGATGTGCATGATGAAGAGGAACAAGCTGGGATTTTGATGCATGGGAATGAAGATGTCACAGACATTTTTTTTTTTTTTTTGCTTGAGAAGGGGATACTCAATCCTTAGATTTTATTTTTGTTATTTTTAATTTTTTTATGCTTTTACCTTTTTCAACACAAGCCTTGTTTGAACCTTAGACTTGGACATGTCTTATCAAAATCAGAGTAGGTGTGTGGACAAGGTTTGGCCAAGTATCCACTGGAAGGTGGCTCCAGAGATGCAATGCAAGAGCCGTAATTTGCACCATAGGGGTTTTGTTTATACCTCTTTGTCAGTAAACGACAACCATTGGATTCTGGATACGAGTAATTTTTATCGTTTATTTCAATTTTTTAACAATTATATTATATTTTTTTATTTTTAACTTTTAAAATGATTATTACAAAAAACAGATAAATGATGATTGAAATCAAAATATCGTGTAATATTATTTTAAAATTTATACCGTAAAATATATATGAAATTTAACTCTGATTATGTCAACAAATTGTATTAATCCAATTTTGTCCCATCTCATACTATACGGGGTTTTAGTCAAGCAAGATTTAAATTTAAACAAATATTTCAGACCAAATATAGACTAAACTCATCCGGTCATCCCAACTCCCCTCTTAGCTTACAAGTATTTCTCCAAAAATAATTACCCCTGCTGTATACAAACTACTTGGTGCGAGGAATATTGCATTGCATGCAACACAATCAATGTCATAGCAATTTACTTTTATATTTATAACATTAATGAGTAACAAAGTGGAAAGAAAAATGGTACACGACCGCTATTCCAAATCCAACCCCAAATTGCAAGAAAACGAGTTCATCTCTCAGACATCATGGATGAGTGCTAATTTTACCCATGACAATCTTCAACAACCAATAAAGCAATTGCACGAGCATGAGCTTTTCTTTATAATTTCAACAGATAAAACTAAACAAATCCTCGTCTCATCATAGTTTGTTACCAGGTTGTCACACTGATTTTTTTACATAATCTTACATTCGTATTGTGTTTCTTCAAGATAACCCCGGAGCATAGAATGGAAACTTTGTTAATCCATATAAAAATAAGAACATAAAGTAGCATAAAAATGATGAATCAAAGGTAAAGAATTCACACATGACAAGAATTATACAAATTGATGTAGGGCAGAGGAGCAAAATTTAAAGCCGCAGCAAGCAGTAACAGGACACATCACTCAGGCAAGCTGGTGGTGTTATATTTCTCCACAGAACTCGAACCTTTGCTTCTTTTGCCTCAAACCGAGTGATGGATTGTGTTAGCAGGGAATGACAAAATGAACCTATCATCTTAATGAAACTCCAATTTACATAATCGCACAGGAACAAGTTCTGTCATTTCCGCTATCAAATTCGTCATCCGATCCATCCGCTTCACTGCAGTTGAATGAAAAATTCATCATATTGAATCAATTAAAAGTAGGTAAAATAAAACATGAAAACAAAAACAAATAAATATGACAAGCAAAGAGGTTATAAAATTTCATCACAATCAACTCATCTCGCAGGTATAATAAAAGGTAATAGCAGAATACATTAGATAAATGGTTGTGAACCTATCCGGATCCTTGGAAGTATATTTTGGGATCATACTTCCGCCCGAGGGGTCTCTATGTATTGAAAATGACAAAATCACTATTACGCGGGGAAGAATAATTGGATATTATAAAAAATTATTACGATAAATATTGACTCTTAGATCGTGTTAAATAATAATTTAATCACTAACTTTCAATCTTGACAACTCATACATGTTTGTATAATCAAACTTTACTGTTCTCATATTTAAAATGAGAATTGTCCCACTCCTTCCTCTCTCCCAATACAAATTTACAAATATGACTTTGTTAAAGGAGACATGAATTTGTTGAATACATTTATTATTATTATTATTATTATTTTCAATTTAAAGGTCCCCGCAAAAGGAATCAGAGATGGGAAAATATTAACCTAAAGTGGGAATCAAGGATGGGAACAGTAGAACAATAAGGAGACAGGAATCGGGAAATAATAGAGACGGGGATGGGGAGGTACTACCCACCCTAGCTCCGTGCCAGTGTCATCCCTACGGGGTACAAGACAGGGAATTGACAAACTAATTGAAGCATGATCTCATTTACTTATTTAATAAAGATATAAACAGGAACTTTGAATGAAATAGAGACATAATGTCAAGCTTTCTTGTCAATACAATACATGGCCCCTATAGTTACACCTTACACGCAATTTTAACCAAGTCTTAATCCTTGCCTCTTTTTAAACTGAGTTCCTCTCTACCAAAAACAATTTGAGTTCCTATAATTGTATTCTACTTTTCATTGAATCCTGACATAAGTAGAAGTAATAATACTGCCAAATTTTGCTGATGCAGCCATATGGAACATCCACCTTTTCACAACAGCTAACTTTTTCCATGTCAACATCACAAGTGAGAACTCATTATCATCACTCAATTAGAATTAACTAAACGTCTAAACCTGCTCAGCTCCAACAACCAAACTATGTTCCTTTGCAAAGTCCCTTGTGAATTAGATCACCACCAAATTTTCTCCTGAAACCATTCTGTAGGGCAAGCAGAACAAGTCAGCCAGGGTATCTCCATGGATGCATTCTTCGCCATATCTAGTCCACCAAAAATGTGATTTCAATGATCAGCAGGTCCAGAAACAGATTCACTGGATTGGATCATTACTCACTGAATGGGCAAGACTTCTCTAAGTCTAATCCGCTATGGATTGCTGAACTGAAACCAATGAGCCAAAAGATGACGAAAACAAAAAACAAGACCTTTGTCCCTTACAAAAGGAATTGCATTCTACTGGGCCTAGAATGGTAATGAAGGCAATTATGAGATGTGTTTACCAGGCAATAGCATTAGAAATCTAGACTCTAGAGGAGACTATTTTCTGGGTTGTGGACAGATTCCCTCACCAGAAAATGACAACAATGGTGCTGAAGGCAACAAATCAGCACTGGAAGGAATACATATTACCAGAATAGGACAAGTATTTAAATATATAGAAGTTGATATATTGGATTTTAAGTTTTGATTGTTCCGTTTCTGTGGTACTGTAGAGTTGAAACGAGGGCCAGTGAAGAGTTTCACAGGAGTGGGAAAGAATAGAATGAAGGGGGAAAAAAAAATCTAACATGTGGTATCAACAAGCAAAAACCTTAAAATGGTGTACACAGGTGGAAAGAGGTGCAAGGAAAAAGAAAAATTTATGTGAAGGTATGAGTACTAAAAGATTATTTATCCCCAAAAATCCAGTCACATATGCAAAGTGAACTTTATTTAGAGTAAATTAAATTGATCAATACTAACCATGAGCAATTACAAAATAACATCTTCACGTCTTTAACTCAGTAGGCACAACTTGTTTTAGCCTCCAAAAGTAGTTGCTATATGATAATATCCACAACTTGTTTAAAGTGTGCTAAAAGTGGTTTGATTGTAGACAGGTTAATAAGGTGTTCAGCAAAATTTATTGTAAAACTACTATAAAATTGACATTAGTAAAACATCCTTAGCATGCTTATTTAAAATATCAACAGAGATGTTTTTAAATATATATCAAATTACCAACAGTCATGCAGCATGAAGAAAACAGCCCTGTGTGCTTATCATTCCCAAGAATTTGATTTTTCTAAAGTGAGAAAATGTACTATGAAGGATAAAGTATGGTTATACTTATAACCAGTGGTTTTTGAAAATCGACAATCAAGATTGTAATAAAATATATTAAGTGTATGACAAACTATGAAATTATTAAAATCTCAACCATTAATTTTTTAATCAAAGGTTATAATGGTTCTTTAACCTCTAAAGTACACCCTGCCGCTTTTAGAGGAACTAAATCACCCAAGTAAAACCTGCCACAGACTGTATAGGATCAAGCAAGCAAACAACATGTGCAGTGTACTTTGGAGCGCCTCCTTAACAAACTCTGCATCTAACATCTAGACTCAACAGATAATTACTATTCTTTACCCCTTAAGAATAGTGGATTACTGTTGACAAAATATACAAAAGATCATATACAAGCATATACTACCAAAGTGAATCCATGACCTATTCTTATTCCTCCAACATTCATGGTATCAAATTCTAGAAAATGCTTCATTTTCATGCTGTTTCCAAGTTAACATTCCCAACCAAGATGCGAACTACTTACCCTTTATGTGAAACCAGTAGTACACAAATCAAACAAAAAGTAAAACATCTATTTACTACTGGCAAAAGTTTTTGTTTTTGTTTTTTCCTTTTTAATGTGTCAAAAAAGTGTTGTTGAATATAATTGGTGGAAATCTTCATATAACAAAAAAATATTGAAGATAACAAGATATTCTTAGAATTTGGTCTTAGAGCCTAATTCAATTCCACAAAATTGACTTGTAAGATGAAAATTGTCTAAGCTTTATAAACTCTACTTAAGCCATATCTCCAATTGATATGGGACTAAACCACCACCCTTGAGGGTGCAATTAAGGCAGACCCCAAAATGGCCACAAATAAGGCCAGTTAAGGATAACAATTAAGGCAACTTTCCAACACTCCTCTCACACTCAGGGCTATTGGCCTAGTGCGTGGCAAATACATGTCCAACAGTAAATCAATGATAGGATTTGATACCATCTTAAAATTTAGGCTTAGGGTCTAACTTAACCTCAGACTTGTATGGTAAGGACTGTTTGAGCTTTATAAGCTCTACACCTCTACTTAATCCATATCATTAATTGATGTGGGACTAAACTACCACCGTTGAGGCTGAAATTTAGACAGTCCCTCAAAGAGAGATGCAATTGTCCTGACTTTTTTTTTCTTCTAATTTCTAATCAATTGAGTAAGAAAAAAGATTTTACAAGAGCTCTATTGGCCATATTTTAAAAATGACCTTTCTGCAGTTCCTAAACATAGGATTGAGGAGCTCTGCAAATTCTTATATATTTTCCCCTTGATTATTTGGGGTGTGCTTGGAAAAGCAAAAATGGAAGGCATGAATGACAGACATTCAACACAACGCGTGTCTGAATACATCCCACGATTTCATTCAACCATTGTGCACAGTACCAGCTTACTTGGACCTAACAGCATTTGGAATGAACAAGTGTAAAACTCCTTAGGGCTTGCAGAGACCATAGAAGTTCTTTCTCTAATCTGGATTCAGTCCACACTTTATTTTGCAAAAAATGGAAACCTACTTCATTTAATTCAACCTCAAACCAAAAAGTTAAAACTTCCATACATTATTTATCACAAGATCACAACATCAGATAGTCATTTACAATAAAAGATGGGGGAAAATGAAAAAGGCCATCAAAGCATATCTGCTTCATTTGTGTCAATCACACAATATTAAGTATCGGGAGCTCCCAATGATAAAATCTGATAAACAAGACCTTTAAAATTTTGCATTCAAACAAACGAGAAACATTTCTCCGTTTATAATAGCTGGTAAAGAAAGTAAAATATATAAATACCTGGGCTCAAATTCTCGTATTTCAACAAGCTCACTACCACAATTATCTGTCCACTGCACTTTCCTTCTTTCTGCTTGACCACCAGGAGCACAAATACCCTGTCCACCTGATGCTTCATGTTCATTAGCAGCCTCAGCAGGAGCAGATTTACTAATTTGTGGCTTTTTTATGCTACTTTTAAGGGTAACCTTTCTGTTATCATTTTCATCATCTACATGTGCAGAAGGATCCTTTCCATTGTTAGAAACCAGCGCCCCTGGTGAGACATCATGCTGTTGGGCAGGGCCCACTTTAAGAGGAGATGGAGTATCAAGCCCTGCGGAAGTGCGACCAAAGCAAACAAAGGAGGCACACCCGCGGGAGAGGCGGTTCTTTGTGGAAGCCAGCTGGAGCTCGGGGTCAGATTCTTGGTCTACCAACTGGTACTGGTTCCACGGAGCTACTCTCATGGGTTTATCCTCATTCCTCTGACCCAAGAGGAGAAGGCTCAGGCCCTTAGTATACCCTGAAGCCGAAGCAGAGAAGAATCCTCCTCCTTCTACTGCCAATAACATCAGTTCTGCTCATCGGCACACCATAAAATGATTTCTATATATGGCTCCCTTCTCTCTGAAGAACCAAAGTAACAGCCTTTTTAACCAAAAGTGAGAAGAGATCAGAATGATTTTCACGTAATTTCAAAATGTCTCATTTCATATCTTTAACATTCTTAACAACACTTTCCATTCCACCACTAAATGCCAGAATATGCTCGGTTGAGGAAATTCAATGTTGATAAAATAAGAAAAGCACATTTCCTAGCAAAACGCAGATTTAAAAAACCTTAAGGATCAAGACAAGGACAATCAAACACGACTAAAACTACTTTAAGACTTCCTCATGTTTCTAGATGCTCAAAACGTGGTGAATCTGTTGTTCGAAACATTAAAAGATAAACCCACGCAACTAAAATTGCCACAAAAATAACTGAGTTACGTTTCTGCTAAAATCACCAGAATACTTGTATTAAAATAATGTTCAAGACAGAAACCTAACTCACTTTACCAATACTCCAAACCATGTTATTTAAACCGTCATGTATAGTAGAATTTTCTTATATACCTAATAAACAAGCATGGCATACACATAAATAACCAATTATTGTCGATTCACCACCGAGAGAGGAAGATCTCTGCTTCAATGCAACCACTCCAATCACACACGTTAGCGAGCAATTTCTCAATCACAATCTAAACTCCAAAACAAATTAAATTGCAAAAAAAAATAAAAAAAAAATAAAAATAAAAAAAAAGCTTCTCAGTTACTTTCAAATGTTCGAGAAATAAAATCAGAAACAGCGAGCCCTGAGCACGCTCGCAAAGCGAGACTCCGAAGTGTCAGTTTTGCCTTCAGTTTTAGGGGAAAGAAACGGGAAATCGTAGATCGAAGAAGAAGGAGCGAGTTTACAGTACCAAAGCAGTGCCGGCCGGAGAATCAGAACGGAAGGTCACCGGCGCGTGGATCAACGGTGTGGATTCGTAGCATCTGCGGTCGGCAGTCGCCACTGGACCAAAAACTCGGCGATGAATTGAATTGAACGACGAATGAGAAGGAGAAAAAACCGGTTCTCTATATTTTTCTTCTGCTTCCAATTATTTAAAAGGAGGATAGGATAGTGACCCACACGGCGCATGATAGCGACGTGACCCCATTCTTCAATGTGCGCAATCGCATGCTATGTTTTCATTAATTAACTAACTTATCTAATTAACTAAGTACTAATACTGTGCTATTTTAATTTTTAGCTGTCGTTATTTATTTCTTCGCTAGTTAAAGCACGGTTAATTTTAATTGCTTGCTTTTGCTCCAGGTTTCTTTCTTTCAGAAAAAAATTGTGACAACAAATCTATAAAATAAATACTTCCCTTATGAATAAATTAATTAGTTTCGTTGCGAAGTTGGGAAAATTCTAGAAGAAGAAAATAGCTAATTAAATAATGGAATTAGGCGTCCTTTTAAGGTTTAACTCATTCTGCTTTTTGTGTGGTGAATGTCGAGTGAAGATAAGACGTCAACTAAAATGGTAGACATGATGAGATTGATATGTTGAAATTGTTGCATGCAGCTTTTTGACAACAAAAGAGGGATCAACATGAAGAAACATGTCCTCGATCCTTCCTTAATTAGGATAAGTCAATATATGTTTACCAAAGAGAACTCCACAGAGCAGGTTGTAATGGATACTAAGTGTTTCCCCAACTTTGACATTTTTATATTTAAATCACATAATAAAGTTTTTTTATGCTTTCCTATTGGCCAGATTCCCCAATGGTTAAAGTGAAGGCTTATTGTTATTTAAAATGTATCAAAAGTAGGTTGAGCCAATTATTACAACAGATGAAAGGATAGTGTTTTTAAAGTGTAGGATTATTGCATAAATGTAGATATTACGTATAACATAAAAGCTGAAATTTCTTATTCATAAAAAAAAAAAAAAAAATGCAGTGTGTAAAACATCCCCACTGGCACATTGGTAGTTGCAAACGATGTCATTCATTTAATTGAGATCAGATAGCTCGAATTCCAAGCTGCAAAAACCTTCTAAATTGCGTTTCAAGTTTTGTTCCAATTTGAGAAGAAAGGTTAGCTAGGTTCTAAAAAGGCACACACACATGCAAGACGTGTCATTTTAGAAGCAGTGGTAGGAGTTTCCTCTTGTGAGAATATTTTGATGCACATCGAAATGGAAGAAAGGTAACAAGAGAAATATATTGTGAGGACTGAGGAGTGGAATATATTCGGTGAGAGGCAAAGGTCCAAAATTGGCCTTCTGAAATGAAAGGCATGGGTCCAAAATGAAACAAAGGCTATGACGTTGGGATGAATAGAGTTTGACCTCGTGAACAGCATCATCACTATGAGCACACTCTCCCATTAGAGAGAGTGAGAGAGAGATGTTTCATGCCACGAGGAGATCTCACCACAAAATATATGGTTCCCAATTTTCATGCTATACAAATTACTTCACAAGCCACCAAAACTTGTTATCCTCACGCACACTTTTCCCATTCCTATTCAATTTCTATGTGATACATCTAAATTATCATAACTACATTCAAATCATAAAAAGGTTATGAGATAATATATATGAGATCTTAACTCATTATTATTAATGTATGGAGGAGAACAAGAAACCGCGCATATATAAATTTATCCCAAGGTCTATAGTTGATTCAATAAAAAGAGAAATTGGATTTTTTTGTGTGACAGTTTCATTATAAAAAGAGCGACTGTATTGACTCTATTACTACTACTTGATGAGAAGATAATTTTGCTGACTCACTCACTAGAAGAGGATAGAGACCTCTCAACCCTTCATAGAATCACTCTTCAAATAAAATTCAAATTATAATATTTATAAATTAACAAATAATAAAAAATAATTTCATAATTGATAAATAATTATTTGAATAATCTTTAATTATTGTTAATTCATGTGATTTAATTAAAAATAACATTCTTCCACTTAGATAACATCATTAATCATTAAAAAATATGGTAATCATGAATGTTATTAACATTCAAAATTGAAGTATATAGTTTTACACTATCCCCATCTCATAATAAATATCATCTTAAGTTATTTTACACATAAAAAAAATTAATAAATAAATAAAGGGAATAGTAATTTTATAAAATTAACCTTATAATCAATTTTCTTTACTAGAAACAATGTAACATAACAACCACTTCTAAATAACATGATTAATGAAAAAATCATAATTAATATAATATATTGAAAAGTTAATATCACATTTATTTTGAAGCTTATTTTTTCTTTTATCATGATTTGTTATGAAACAAGAGAGTAATTATTAATTGATAATTTAAACATTTAATATATTACCTCCCATTTTTATTATAAGACCTAAATAACTAATTCATCAAGATTAAAAAAATTATTTATCTTGTTAAGATCAGTAAATACATTTTAATTTTCAAACTAGCTATCTCTAAATTAACAAGACACTCAATATATTTATAAATTTTTTTGCATTTCAAGAATAAAAATGAGACTTTTTATTTTATGACAAATAAATTAAATAAAATTTACTTACTTAATAAACTAACAAACTAATTTAAAATTTTGGATCTTATAATATTGGAGGTAATATATTTTACTTTTTTCATCCCATAATAAATATTATTTTAATTTTTTATGTGAATCAATAAAAGTAAAAAAGTAAAAAATAAAATATTATTACCTGAAATAAGATTTTGTGCCATTTTAATTTTATTAATTAATGACGTGAGACAAGTAATTTGATTAGAAAAATAGAAGTCTAAACAATAATTGGTTGAAAGCGAATTGCGCACTAAAAAGAAAATCTGTGGGAGTCAGTCTAGTAAGGTAGATATTAATTAGGTGAAGAACAAGATTACTTGTAACTATCATGGAGGACATTATTTATACTAGTTTTCAAATTATATATATTTTCAAAGCAATTCAATGATTTTACCAAATGTTCAAGTAACCGGCCGTTTCAATCAACCTCAACTAACAGCATTGAAAGGTTACAAGCCCAAAATCCGCCATCAAGAAGAATCATTCATTTAAGGACAAATTACCCAAAAAAGTTTAAAACACAGATAAAGGAGGAAATAAATTGCCAGATGCTTCTGGTAAACAGTGAAAATTTCAAAATTGTAGTTATTTTTACGTTAAACATTTTTATCATGATTTTTTAATATATATGAGAATAAAAGTGAGACATTTTTTTTTTGGTGCAGTTAGTGTTTACTTCAATTAGAATTAATATTTTGTCTCGATAATATACAATTATATTTAATATAAATCTCATTATTATTATTATTATACATTTACACATATTATAAAAATAAAATTTTAATTTTGATTAAAAAAATAAAATCAATTACACTTTGAGAATTATATCAAAATTTTATTTCATATATTAGTAGTATCTTTACAAAGGACAAACATCATAACTCATTCTTGATTATTCACTTTTTTTATTGATTAAATTCATTAAATATTATAAAATTGTTTATTTAATAAGTTTCATTCATAATTTTATAAATTTTAATTAATAATGAGTTAGAAAAAATGTGTTATGGAAAGCTTGCTAATTAATTCATAAATGTTTGGCAGCTCAGGAGGAGCGGTGAGTACGTGGCAGTGTAGTGGAGCAGACAAGGGAGAAGGAGAAATTAAAAAATAAAAAAATAAACACAAATATGAGTAATGAATTGTGTAATTTTATGGATGAGATAAAATCAAATGATTAACAATGGTGGTCCACCATAAGCCACTTGTAGAAGTGGTACAAGGTAGCCTTTGTCTAAAAAAAAAAGTTTTTAACAAAAATATTTTCTTAATTTTTTTTAATAAGTATTTAGCAAGTACATGTGAATCAAAATACTTATATTTATTTCCATTTATCAACAAATATAAATATATCTATTTAAATTATTTTCAAGTACTCTTTAAATATTCATTTATCATGTGTGAATATTTTAATCATCAAAAAAAATATTAAAGTGATCAGTTAATTTTTTTTTGATAAAGACGAATAAATATTTTAAACTAATAATATTGTAAAAATATCCTAAATTATCTATCAAATCAAAGTGAAGATGCAAAAAAAAAAAAGAATCACTAGGAAGAACTTCATTTTAAAAGTGACTGGAACTCAATCTAAAACAATTATCACAATGGGTCGATGGAAGTTTGTAGTTAGTAGGATTATTTAATGGTGAATAAAGTTTGTAATATAGTATTAGTAAAAAGTTGATATGGCGTGAAGCATGAAAGATGAAAGTTCCAATGTGAATTGAAAATTCGGTTTGAACTTTGAAGGGTTGGAGTGAATGATTGTAAGAGCATGAGTGAAGGCCACCAGGCTGTTGCATAAATGATTTGGTTTTGGGGGTCAAAAGCTGATAGGGTGCTGTTCATTTGTTGAATTAGAGGTAATACCCCTTCAATAAAGAAGAAGTAGATGCTGATTGCAAAGTTAAGAAGGAAGTCCCTATAAAGTCAGACAATCGCATCATGTGTGCATCTTTTCATAGTAAATGTCTCCACAAAACACTTCTAAACCAAAAAGGATATAAGGAGAAAAAATAAATTATTTAAAAAAACTAAAATTAACTTATACATAATTTAATTACATAAGAAAAATAATTTCATTAAAGTCCCTCTCGTTCTATATAAAATGAAGTTAACATTTGTAAGTGTATTACAAAATGTTTTTTTTTTATTTACAAAATTTAGATATAATTTTTACGTGCAATTAATATTGATTTTCAATTTGAATTGAAGTTTTATTTTAATAGTATACGTAAATGTATATTGTTTAAGTCAACATTAAATATAAATATCGAGATAAAATTTTAATTTTAATTAGATAATAACATCAATTATACTTAAAAAATTGTACATAAATTTTGTCATTTCTTCAATTTAATTTCATCATTTTAAAATTTGTATATTAAAAAATTGTTTAAAATATTTTTTTCTCCAACATTATGAACTTTGATACTATCATTTAATATGATTTTCACTTTTAATAAAATGTCCATAAACAATGAAAATAGACACACACAAAAAAAAAAGTAATGTGTATATAA